GCTGTTTTTCGGGTCTGTGTCTTTAAATGCAAATGAGCTGCTGCTCCCCGCCCCCTATTCCAGAATAGAGCTGCCCATTACAGCTCGTATCTGCTAAAAACATCTGTTTTGGTTCTGATTATCATGTTTATCGCGCTGAAATCATGCGTTTTAAACCATATGAGTTTAAACTTCAGATATAAGGTTTTCTGAGCGCACACATCCGAAGCACACGGACAGAAAGCTGATGTCACAGCATGTGAGTACTAAATTTAAGTTAAAAACACACCAGTTACAAAAACAGTCGGTTATGTCTGTGAAGGTAAACAGCTGGGAAATAAATCGCTTGTTTATTTTAGATCTGTGTGGCAGCAGCAATATACAGTAGCCTAAATAAATCAATAAATCCACTGCTCTCTTGAGATCCCTTTGCCACGTCACCAAGGGAGCGAAATCAGACGCGCTCGTGTAAGTACGAACGTCCCAGGAGGACTTGAACGCAGCATAATATTATAATGAGATCCCTTTGCCACATCACCAAGGCGCGCTGGTTTTCTCAGAGGCTTGCAGAAAAAGGCTTACCAAAACAAAGTGATTGGGTTAATCTTTTTCACGTTTCCTTGGTTGGTAGATGCACCAGGGACCTGATTATAGCACTTAAAACCTGAAAAAGTCAGATTTTCATGATATGTCACCTTTAAGAGTCCGAAAATTTAAGGTATTATAGACACGTTTCTGACATGAATGCAACATTATAGCTTGTCTCATTGTCAAGTTTGCACCCTATTGCGAAAAAATTTACATTCATAAGTGAACTTGTGTGGGGGGGAAAGTGTATATTAGCAAGGAAGAATAACAAAAAAAGTGAAGTTTAAGTCTGTTTACACCGTACCGTTTAGGTGCTGTTGTGAAAAATTAGAAGCACAAACATGGGCTCTGTTCCAAAACATAATAGGTTTCCTACAGAGACAGCGTTTAAGGTATTATAGACACGTTTCTGACATGAATGCAACATTATAGCTTGTCTCATTGTCAAGTTTGCACCCTATATAGGTCACATTTGTCAGGCACATACGCCATAAATGTGGTCTCATTTCAGTACAGTAACTGATATAAAAATGGACTGTTCATGTGAGGCTTAAATTACGTTAAATTTAACTTTTACAGTAAATTTAAAATTTTTTAGTAAATTAAAATGACTAACAAGATGGATTCACAATTCTAATATTTGTGTGTTCTATATGTTTGTTGTTCTTATTAGAGCAGTGTATTAGCCTAACAACATGCTCTATTAGAATATCCTTTTGAAATGGACTTTCTTTTGTGCTTCACATGTGAGTCACTTTATTGATCAATTTTGGCTGCTTTTGAACTTTTCTGCCTTCAAAATTTGGAAATATGCTACATTCTGCTTCATGCGAGTTGTGACACACTTCAGTAACACCTGCTCTTTGAGCAACACATTAATTCTGGTGTTCCCTAAAGAGATTTCTGATTGAACTTCAGCAAAACTGGAACAAACTGTTGTTAATGTTCCAAACTGCATGTTATGAAGGACAAATCAACTTTGGTCCTGTTTTGCTGAAAGACTTTCCCACAACTATTAGGGATAAACCTGATCTCACCCTGCTGAGTGCTGTGGATGTGTTTCACATTAATTCTGTGTTCACTTAACCAGTAATGAGTTGAAAGACTGGGGGATATTTGTCTGACGACTCATGGTGAATATATTTGTGCTGAAGTGAGAAATGGTTTTGAATCTGGACACGGACAGATTGGACTGGGGATTCATCGTCTTTCAACACCGGACGAGTGTGTTAGGATGCGACGTGCTTCTGTGTAATTAAGAGCGTGTCATAAAATGAGTTATCATTCCAGCTCTTTTTTTACAGCATGTGTTAAAACCCACTCTCTAATCTGACAGTTAATATGGTAATGAACTCCTGCCGAGCTGGAGATTATGAAGGAGATGGATGTCAGAATCTTTTGGTTACAGTACTTTTTTTTTATTTCTGAGGAAGATGGGTGGCAGTTACTTCTCGCCACAATGCTGAAGTAAGAGTTTGATATTTCCAGCCAAACATGATTGGAAAAAACATACAAGGGTGTTTCTTCAACTATGCAGGCTTTTGGTACTGGACTTTTAGAGAATAAACCCTCACTAGTTTGTTGTTTTGTTTGAACTGTCATGAACATGTCCTTAATTTCAACATCTCAAATCAGAATTAATTTTGTGGTGGAAATCAACATTTTTTGGAATAGTAGCAGTGTAAAATAAAATAAAAAATAATTTTAAATAAAAAAACGGAATAATATTTAGATTTCTTAAATTGAATATTAAATTAAATGATATTTTCCCACTTGTTGCAATTGTAACCAAGTACACTCATTTTTAAAGAGTTATTGAGCTAAAATTTTATTTTTAAATAATTATTAAGGCTCCGTTGTTGCTAAATTGTTGGTTGTACATTATTGTACACAAATAATGTACGGTCAGAATTGTGTAAAACTGATATAAATAATTTTCATAAAAGGAAATATTGAAAATGCTTTATTTAAGTCAAATATTACAAAAATATTTTACCTAATAAATGAATGCATAAAAAAAAAAAATTTTAATAATAAATGAAAGATGAAAGAATAAAAATGAAAGAATAAGTAATCAAATAAAAAAATTTAATAATAAAAAAAAATTTTAAATGAAAGAATAAGTAAAGAGAAGTTAAAAATAATACAAATAAATTTAAAAATAAATATAGACAGTAATAAATAAAGAAAAAAGGCAATAAAAATAAATTCAGGATTAAAATCTATTACAAATGAATTTGTTTCATCAAATCATTAATTCCTTTATCTATCTATCTATCTATCATTTCTGCAGGTTTGGTCCTCCATAGGGGACAAAGGTTAAATCTATGCATAAAAGACATTTGAAAAACAGTAAAAATAAAGCCATGGTAGATAGATTTTTAACAAATATTTTTTCCTCATTTTTATCCAGACCTTGGGAATCCTGGTTCTTCAATAAAAAACAGTTGTTAAAATAAGCTACATCTTTTTTTAAGCTAAATTAAAATTAAAATTAAGGTTTCACCTTATTTTAATGGTTGTCTTGTCTCATTTTAAGTCATCTTAAGGCCCCCCTTGGAAGTTTACTAAGGTCCTCCAGTGAGCCCCGGGCCCCTTGATTGAGAACCACTAGTTTAATGTGATCTTTATATAACAAAAAGTTTGAATAAAAATCAACTCCTGGGACATTAAAGTGCCCATAGTGGAATAAACACCCAGAAATGTGTTTCTTAACTTGCAAATGGGTTTCGGTACACCAGTGTTAGTGAATATTTGCACACATTTGAATAAAGTACTCGCTGTTCTCTTTCTCTGGTGGATTAAGACATTGGTGTTTAACTTCTAGGGGACAAAAATGCACTCTTTGAGTGAATAACGTCTCGTCATCTCCCACGGCTCACTTCAAAGTTAAAAGTGGTCGAAGCGCTGGTGTGTCAGCAGATGCAATCCTCAAGCATAATGCAGGTCCCCTTTTCCATACTCAGAGGAAATGCAGCACTTCCCAGTGCTCTACGATACCATCACTTACATCCCCGTCTACAATAAGCACAGGGTTGTCATCGGGGGGACAACTGGGAACGTTGTACTAGACCCTGTGACAAAGGAAGCCCACAATGGGCCCTAATGTTGTCCCGGGTCAAGTAATTTAAACAATGGCCCCAGAATTGCTTTTGTCTGTTATTTAATCACAACGAATTGTGTGGTTGTTTTTTTTGTAATTATTATGCATGCAGTTTCTAAGACTTTCCTATTAATTGAGAGACTACACAGCACTATAATATTATTTTATATTAAATAATATTAGAATTTTATAAATAAATATTTACATTTATTGCTTTTTATATAATAATATTTTTAAAAATATAATTGTTTTTTATTTGATTTATATTAATATATATTTTCCCTTTACCTGACTATTTGTTTGCAGCATAATTTCTCCCTTTTTTTTCTAATGATTTTATTTTTCACTATTTATTCTCTTATCGCTTTCATGTTTTTTCATACAGGTCTTTCTAATAATGCTCAGACACACTGACTCCAAACTAAGGATGTTTTCACTGAACCTCTTTGTCTTTGTTTTAATAGGTACTCCATCTCCCCTTACTCTGTCTTGGAACGATGTGGCATCAATCACCCAAAGCCCTCTCCGTTTTTTGGGAACCTCATGATGTTTCGAGATGTAAGATCTTTTGTTTACTTCGTAATGAAACACAAAACGCATTCGCTCACTTTCTCATACATCCACACCTTGTACCGCCCTCCCAAAGCTATTTCTCTCAGTGAGCCTTACTTCATTAGATGTGTTCATTAAAGATGACTCACCGCTAATGACATCTAATGCCATGTGATTTCCAAACAGATTACCCTCTGTGCTGAATGGCGTACTTTTACGACGATAATATAAAAGACGGACGGGCAGAGTGGGTGGGTTTAATATTGCAAAATTAATACTTTTAATTCCTTCTGTTTGTTTTTTTTAATTTAATCTCAGTCCCAAGCTATAATGTAGCAAATCAACAGCTACCTTGAGGACTCTCATTTCTGCCAGTCTGTAGTTTAATGATAATGATTTGATGTGGATTATAGGAAATAAAGGCCAAATTTTCTTTGCTGTAGGGCTGTTCGATTCCAGTGAGAGTATAAAATGGACTTTCATTTGTGAATATGAAATGCCTAGATTCATCCAGCAACCAATAATGATGAATGCCATAAAAGAACAAGTCTGGCTCATATTTCACCCTACAATAAAAATCAAAAGAACACAAGAAAATTTGAATATTTTATGGATCATTAAAATGTATTTATGACATTTAAAGTCAAGGGGGACGTATCAATAAAGAATATGATGGTTTGAAATGCATGTTAAGTTCAACTTTTTGCTCTTTTTTTACTGTAAAAAAAAATAGGGCACAATGTGCTTTATAAATAAGACATTTTCAGAATTTATTTTTACCTGTATTTTGAATTATGCACTCCATTGCATTGTGTATCAGGATTAACATAAATGACTGTAAAATTACTGGATAATGTCCTGGCAGACAATTACCAGTACATTTTTTTTATTTCATTATTATTATTGGTAATGAAAAAAATTAGAATAGTGCAAATGTTTACTAGACTATTGAGAGTATACACCACAGAACTTTTTTTTTACTACCTTCATGCTGATTTTATTTTTTTAAATCAGTATTTTTACTGTATATAACAATGAGTGGTAATTGTTTTAAAAGGATTAAAAAGAAAAAATAAAATTAGGTTTTTTCTCATACAAAAATAATTTTTATAATATTTTTTATGAAAATAAAATACAAAAATTAAATTAAATTAAATTAACAAAACAAAATAAAATAAAATAAATGTATATTTTTCCTTTAGATTTTTGAAACATGTTTTAATTCAATTCCCCCACCAGCACACTGGCTTATTTTAAATAAAGCTTTGATTCCAACTCTTGTGCTGTTCTGGTGCTGAATAGATTCTCAGATCAATATGTTACTGTCAGACAGTAATGGTTGACTGGACAGCATGTCGTTCACAACACTCTTTTCATTCTGTCTTTCTATCACCCGCTTATGACAGGGCTCCCTCTTCCTTCTCTCCCTCTCGATCTGCCTGTCTGTTTCCCTTTCTCCATATTTTTCATCTCAATTCATGTCTTCCTCGTTGTGATTAGATGTTATTAGATGGAAGTGTGAAAGGCGTAAATGAATATGCATGCATGCATAATTACTGCGTCTAGATGAAGCTCCCCAGGTGAACTAAAGGTATGTGCTTTTTTTAGTGTGTGGGTTTTTGTATGCTGTTGTGCAGCCTTTGTCTGTGCGTATTAGCGTGTGTGTAGATTTGTGCACACGTCAGCAGACTCAGTCTCACAAACAGTGGTCTCCAGAGCATTGCTCTAGCAGAATCCTCTGACCCACTTCCACAGGCCAGCCTCTCAGCTAAATCCTGTAGGTCTGTGTGTGCGACTGTATGCACATTTTGTGTTACTGGCACTATAGATGCAGACGCAACCCCCTCTTAAGAGGCAGGTGACTGCATTTCAAGTTAGAAATTCAGTGAGAATGCAAAAGAGGAAAGGGAGATGTTGAAAGAGAGAAAGGAGAAGGAAAGTAAGGCGTAGGCTACGTTAGCAAAGTCTGTGTTTAGGATTGATGACGAGTAAACCAAAAAAAAAAAAAAACCCAGAAGTTGCATAAAGTTATCCAGTCTAGTTTTGAAAAGTCTGTTTCCAGTTTTGTGTACGTTAGTTTAAAGTACAATCAAGTTTTGTGTTCATTATGTATCAGATCCTAATTGGAGACTACAAAATTTCATATAAAATGTAATTTTTATAATATATCATATGAATAAATGAATTAATTCATGAATATATTCATACAAAAATGCATATATATGTACTTTTTACTTTAGATTTTTGGTGAAAATGACCCAGACTGATCAAGAATAAATGAGGACTAATGACTAATTGGAAACTTTGTTGAAAGAAGTCTCTTATGCTTACCAAGGATGCATTTATTTAATATTTTATAACAACTTATTCCTGTAATAGCAAAGCTGAATTTCCAGCAGTCATTATTCCAGTCTTCAGTGTCACATGATCCTTCAGAAATCATCCTAATATGCTGATTAGATGCTCAAGAAACATTTCTGATTATTGTCAATGCTGAAAACAGTGGATTCTTTGATGAATAGAACATTAAAAAGAACAGAATTTACTAAAAAATAGTCATCTTTTGTAAGATTTTAAATGTTTTTACTGTCACTTTTGATAAATTTATTGCATCCTTGCTAAATAAGTATATAAAAATTGACTGACTCAAAACATTTGAGGAATACTGTACAGTGGGACGTAATACAGTTGTACCCTGAATATAGTCTTAAAGGGGTCATATGATGCGATTTCAATTTTTCCTTTCTCTTTGGAGTGTTACAAGCTCTTGGTGCATAAAGAAGATCTGTAAAGTTGCAAAGACTAAAGTCTCAAATCCAAAGAGATATTCTTTATAAAAGTTAAGAGTCAGCCACGCCTACCTAAAACGGCTCGTTCTAACACACCCCACATGTCTACGTCACGATGTGCGCCGGATCGGCTTTCACTGTGGACGAAGCGGAGTCCAGCCCGGGGTCGTCACATGGGGTTGCCGCAAGCCCTCCAGACGCTCCTTCGTTGAATCCGCCGGCCGCACCGTTCTCAAGTCCACCGGCCTCCGCTCACTCTAGCCTTCCGGCCGTTCCTCACTCTAGCCGCTGGCCTCTGCTCACTCTAGGCCGCCGCCGCTCACTCTAGGCCGCCGTGTGTGATGCTGTGTTTCGTTGTGAAAGCGAAACTACTTTGTTTGGCCTTCCAAAAATGGACACGACTAGAAATCAGTGGTTAAGTTGTATTTACAACACTGTTCCAGAACACTTCAACCCAAATATTCAGATGTGTGCAGCACATTTTATGGAGGACTGTTTCCTGATCCTGGGAGAGTAGACTACAATGCCGGCTGTTCTGACTCAAAGACTGTAAGTACGTTTTTTATAGTTAAAGAGTTTTTATATTTTTTATACTTAAAGCAAGTTTTTTGGGCAGTGTAGAGTAGCACTTGTTGTTTGTAATTTCTCCGATCACAAATGCAGACATGGTTTTAAGTTTACGCGGCGCGATGCAACGCAACGCGTAAAAAGACAGTATAAGTCATTATAATAATCAATAATTATGTCCCCACTGGATGCAACAAATGCCTCATTTGTAATGGGTTTTAATTTTTCTGACCGATGAGCTTTGTAAAAATCGACGTGTTTCAGAAAGGCGGGGCATAGAGGAGAAACAATAATGTACAGTATGTGGAAAATAATGTGGTTTTTTAACCTTAAACTGCATAAACACATTTCATTACACCAAATACACAAAATAATGTTCTTTTTAGCAACATCATATGACCCCTTTAAGAGAAGGAAATGGGATACAGAGATGAAACGATAAATATATATTTGGAGTGATTTGAAGGTACAAGAAAGAAGAGAGAAGCCAGGGTGTGATTGAGGATCATGGGTAACAGGAAGTGATGTACAAAGAGTGTTTGGGATACGGGGCAGATTGAGTCACATTTAGAGACTAGACGACAGAATCTCTCGCAACCCACAGCAGCACATTATCAGACACACTCCATTACCAAATACAACACTCACAGACATGAGATTTGGTCCATTTAAGATCCTAAACAATCTAGATGCAGTTCCTCTATCTCTTTCTCTCTGTTGCCAGCACACACGCACATACTTGCTTTCTGTTTATACATAGGGGACGTATCTGGAAAACAGGATTTGTCATGGTAGTTTGAAATAAAAAGAGCTACAGTATGTAGACTGACTTTAATGTTAACAATGTAAAGCTGCCTGCCCAGTGTGTCAAGACTATTTACTTTATCTATGGTACAAAAACAGGTCATTGTCAAAGGTTATAAACAGGGCCTAAAACTAACTTTTTGCCACACCTGCCAATGGCCGGTGACATGATCAAATTTACCGGCCAAATTTTTTTTTTACCGGCCATGAAACTATTTTTGCAAAAACAGGCTGTTATTACTACAATGACTAAACATATTTACAATGTTTTTAATTTGTCCTGCTGGTGCATTTTCCCTCAATTTTCCCTATTAATTATAGCCATTCAACATTATTTTTAACATTTAATAAGCTCTGAAATATATAACAACTTTTAATTTTAGTGATTTTAAAACAATCTTCACATAAACTATATTATATATGCATAAACTATACATATTAATCTTTATTCAATCTACAAAAGTTTCTCTCTCTAAGGATTTCTCTTTTTCTTTTGTTCTTTGATTTACATCATAGACTGTATAAAAACATGGACGTAGTGTCCGTGACGTCACCCGTAGATTTTCGAAGAGCGTTTTTGAAGCTCAAAAGTGGGCGGAGGTGGTGTCGCCATCTTGGCAGCGCGTCACTGCGCGTCACTCCCGGATAATCACGTTTACAAGGTAATTCGCCAAAACCGCGCATTTTGACATAATTGTGTGTTTTTCCGTGCGTTGAAGCGCTACTGGTGATGTCTGAAGTGGTTCAGCGTCTGTGTACAGCCGAACGCGCAGCCTTTCAAACTATACTTCACTGCACCGTTTAGGCGGCGTAACCCCAGGTATTTTTTTTACGTTTTTAAAAGCAGTCTCATATTCTCACCTAGCCTGCATATATTGGATTAAAAATACAGTCATATTGTGAAATATTTTTACAATTTAAAAGAACTGTTTTAATATATTTTAAAATATAATTTATTCCTCTTCAGTGCAACATGATCCTTCAGAAATCATTTTAATTTATGGAAAAAAAAAATTTTCAGGATCCTTTGGTAAATAGCAACATTTATTTGAAATAGAAATATTTGTAATATTATAAATGTCTTTACTGCACTTTAATTGAATTAATGCATCCTTGATGAATAAAAGCATCAATGTCTCTTTTGTTTGTTTTTTTCTTAAAAAAACAGTCTGTTTAATACTGAGGGTCAGAGAGAAGCAAAATGCTCATTAAAAACTAAATGACATCTGATGCATTTTGCAAACAAAACTGGTAAGAATTGCAAGATCCAATAAGGTTGCATGTTTTATAAGCAAGAGTATGGGTGCACAGGTTTTTTGGATCTTGAAACTGATCTGTTGCATTTAGTGCCTTTGGGGAAGAAATAATTACTTGGTTTGCCAGGTTTGTGGCACTGAATCATTGAAAGACGCTTAGAGTTTTATTTAAGACTCATATGGTAGCTAGATACTCAAACAGAATTGTATATTTGGCTTTGTTTCTGAGTAATATCTCTAAACAAATTACTATTACTTTTGGACAGACAGAATACGTGATCTCAAAGTCTACAAAAAATTTATCTAATTTGAAGAGACTACCGATGACCAATCAGCATCGGTCCTAATGGAATCATTACAATGTAAAAACGAATTTTTCTAAAATGTACATAAAACAAAAAGAAAATGCTATTTCAATGTTTCTACTTCAAAATCTTACATTTAATTTAACGAATTTCTTGCTGTGTTTTTTAAACATTTGTTTCTAAACCAGTTTTTTTCCCAGTGTATTTCAGATTTACCCACATGTAAACGTAAAAAACGAAAGAAAGGCATTTTTTGAAAGTCCCCCCAAAAGATAGAATATAGAATAGAATAGGCGCTTAAAAGGTTCTTCACACCGATGCCAAAGAAAAAGCATTTTTGGTTCCACAAAGAACCATTCAGTCAAAGGTTCTTTAAAGAACCATCTCTTTCTTGCCTTTTTATAATCTGAAGAACCTTCTTTCGCCACAAAGAACCTTTTGTGAAACAGAAAGGTTCTTCAGATGTTAAAGGTTCTTTATGGAGCCAGTTAGAAAAAAAAGGTTCTTCTATGGCATCATGAAGCACCTTTATTTAAAAGAGTGTAGAACAGAACGGAATAGAATAGAATAGAATAGTCTATCTTTAAAAGTGCATCTCCCATACCTTCCTCCACATCCTCTCAGTCACGCACTGAGCGTCTGCCTGCATGACTCTGAGTGACATGAGAGATTATTAGCGACCGAGACAAAGAGAAGCAGTACGATGTCGAAGGTCATATATGTGCTAGAGAACAACTGGAAGTGGCTAATCTTTTTAAGAGAATTCCAATAGAATCGCTGACTGTCCGTTTCAGTCAGACCAGGCGTTATTGATCGTATCCATCCGAGATGAATCCCCAGTGAAGCCAAAGGCAGGAGCAACTCATTTGTTTGAATTGAGCCTCCTGTTAAACTTCACTACAGCACTGTCTGATGCACACGCAGCCTCTTCCGTATGACAGAACAGTAATAAAAGGCTGAAGGAGAGGACATCAGGACGGAAGGGCACACACCCCACTGCTTAATGCTCACTGAGGAACACACACACACACACATACATCTATGCCTAATGCCCACCAGGGAGACTGCAGGAATGGTGGGATGAAGAAGGGAGGGCAGGCGGTTTGGTGCCAGCACTGTCGACTCCTTCATTAGTAGAGACAGCAGAGCCACCGGCTGCCATGCATACCAAACTAGCGCTCTTTATGTGTGTGTGTGTGTGTGTGTGTGTGTGCGCGTTTTACAGTCAGCACTTGATGTGTTCATTGTTTGCTTTGTTGTGTAACTTCTTAACTGTATCCCACCAGCCTCTATAAACAATGCAATCTCAGCAGCCTTATGTGCAAAGTTTAAAATGTTCTTCGATTCTAAATAGGGATATGATAATATTCTTGTTATTGTGTTATGGTTATGGATATTTCAGGATAATATTTTCAGTAGACATCAATAAACCTCCCGAGAGCCCATAAACCTCGAGAGAGCCAAGCGCAGTCGGTGTTTTTGCTCTGTGCTGACCCCTACTGGTAGATAAGTGTGATACTGCACCTGCAGTAACCTGTGTTCACATAGTAAGCGCCTCTTTAGGAGTCATAGTGATTGATCTATATTGTGCAGGGAAGTCAGACAGGACAGATGGTGGTATCCAAGAAAAGATCGAGCTGAAATAAATAATTGCTTTAAACTACATGATGGCAAAGCTGTGCAAATGTTTGTGAATGTGCTAATCTTGGAGAAAGTGCCCACCCACTGAGAACAACGGATGCAAGTTTAACAAATCAGATCTCTCTTACTCAGATTATTAGAATGTTTTATTCCACAGTATTTGAAAAGCATCAATTAAACAACTGTGGCAGAAAAATAAGTTGCCTGTAATTGTAGTAAAAATAATAATATTCCGCATAAGATCTTAAACTACACCCACAGGATGTATAAAATCAAGTAGTATGCATTTACAAACATTTGTGGAAAAAATGTTTGTGGTTAAGACCTCAGTGAATTTAAACATGGTACTATGATAGGACACACTCAGTTTGTGTAATTTCATCCCATATAGATATTCCACAGTCAACTGTAAGTGGTATTATTGAAAAATGGAAGAATTTAGGAACAGCAGCATTTCAGTCATAAAGCAGAAGACTATGTAAAGTAAAAAGAGGGATGAAGTGAAGGGAAATCTTAATGCTTCAGCATAAAGACATTTTGGACAATGATATGCTTCCAATTTTGTGGTAACAGTTTAGAGAAGGTCCTGACTGTGCCCCAGTGCACAAAGCAAGATCTATAAAGGCATGGTTGGATGAGTTTGGTGTGAAATAACTTGACTGGCTCGCACAGAGCTCTGATCTCAACCCCATCGAACACCTTTGGGATGAACTGGGATGGAGATTGCAAGCTAGGCCTACTCATCCAACATCAGTGCCTGAGCCCACAAATGCTCAAAATTCCCACAGAAACACTTAATTTTGTGGAAAACCTTCCTAGAGGAGTGAAAGCTGGTGTAGCTGCAAAGGGGGATCAACTTCATATTAAGTCCCTGTTGGTGTAATGGTCAGGTGTCCCAATACTTTTGTCCGTATAGTGTATCTTTCTGATTTCACATTTCTCTCTTACTCTCAATTGTTTAATTTTCTAATAAAGTATTAGCATGCTGCAAATATTTGCAGCAGAATATATATCACACAGAATGTGTGAAAAATGTGTTGCCAGTATTAAAATAATAAATACATAAAATTATTTCATGAAGATATATTTAAGTTGTGTGGCATTTCACTATTAAAGGCATAGTTCACCCAAAAATGTTATTAATTACTCACCCTCATGTCGTTCCAAACAAGGTTATTATAGTTTTGAATTTTTAAATTAGTTTTATTTTAATATCGTTTTCAAATTTGCTGTGCAATTCAGTTTAGTTTTTTTATTAGTTTCATTAATATTGTTGTTAGTTTTAGTGAAAGGATGCGCGTTCTCGTCTTTTTTTCCTGTTAATTATTACGTTGCGCTGCGTGTCTGTTTTTCTTCAAAGCACCAACTTAGAATGTCTAATTTTGGTTTGATTGCTTGTGGTACATGAGAAAATAAATTATCTTGCTTACCTGATGTAATAGATTTAATGCGGGTGCGCGGTCGCGACTTGCGGTCTTTATCTCAAACGTGTCTGGTCTGGTACAGAATTAAATTAGTGCCGCTGTTGGATAACGGGTCGAGTGTTCTCTTAAGTATTGCTGGTGCACGTTTACCAAACAGGACCCGTGCAGGACTCTGCTTTAAACTGCTGTGCGTCTCTCCGTCAGATAACCTCACGTGCGCGATGCGCCATTTACCGCCGGCGCCACACAGCTCATATTTTTCCGCTAAGGGGTGAGAACGTAATGATTACGAAAACGATTATTTATTTTTGATAATTATTATTTTATTTCAGTTAGTTTTTCAATAACTGTTGTTAGTTTCGTTTCGTTTTAGTTTTTCAATTATTTTGTCATTTTTATTTTATTTTTATTTCAGTTTACAAAATTGTTTTTTCATCAATCGTTTTCGTTTTCGTTTACGAAAATAACCTTGGTTCCAAACCCATAAGACCTTCATCATCTTTGGAACACAAATTAAGATGTTTTTGATTAAATCCGAGAGCTTTCTGACCCTCCATAGACAGCTTCACAACTGTGTGGTACTGTCATGAATGCGTGTGGAAGACTGACAGGGACAAAAAGTATTCTCGTAGCTTCATAAAACTACGGTTGAACCACTGATGTCACTTGGACTATTTTAACAATGTCCTTACTACCTTTCTGAGCCTTGTAGGTGTCAGTTGCATTGCTGTCTATGCAGGGTCAGAAAGCTCTCGGATTTCATCAAAAATAGCTTAATTTGTGTTCCGAAGATGAAAGAAGGTCTTACGGATTTGGAACGACATGAGGGTGAGTAATTAATGACAGAATTTTCATTTTTTGGTGAACTATCCCTTTAAATCTGATTGTTGTAGATGATGTGAAACTTTGGCAGTCTCTAAAATAAATCTGACCACATGTGTCATGTGTTCACAATGTTCTCTAATATGCTTTCATACTGATATGTGGGTTTTCTGCTCTTGCACAGGGTTTCTTTAAGTCACAATCTGACCTAATAAAGAAATACGGACTAATTTGTGGGTAAGTCTCCTTGGATTTTACTCTTACTGTTATTAAAGCGTCAATCAAATGAATAAATTGGATTAAATTTATGTTGTTTCTTTGTTGAAAAAACATCTGAGATTGATGTCTGAAAGAAACCATTTTTTATTATCTGGGAAAGCTTTTGTCAAAGGCATTAATAAACACAAATATGCGAAACCTATTTGTTTTGCCAAGTGAAACATGAACGACTTCTCATTACCCCGTGTAATAGAAATGATTTTTTTTCTGATTATGTTTCTGATGAAAAGTGCCCTACATGATTGCTTTAGTCATTTCCACATTTATAGAATTATTTTAATACGAAAGCATCTGTGTATAACACCCATCACACACGAGGCCCTTGTTCACGGTCCTGTCATTCATATTCAGACAGCATGAGCCTCTCACAGAGTGCCCAGTGTCCTCTAATTTAGTCGGTCGCTAGCCCGACATTGTGTTTTAATATGCCTGCTTCTGACAGGCCGACTTCTCCTCGAGGGAGATCAAAGCAGCGAGTGCCACTGGGCTTCCTGTGTTTAATATGAGCAGAATAGAGGGGAAGAGAATCAGAATGACGCTGGTTTTGTCTGCTTGTGTGTGTGTGCATATGCGTGTTCAATGGGATCCGGGGGTTCTGTATTGGGTGTCGGGACCGGAAAAGGGGATCTAATTCAGAGTCGTGTGGATATATGTCAGGAGACATTACGACATCTCTCAGTTAGAGTAATCCAAGAGGCTGAGCTTCTCACTGAAATCAAAGGGCTTTGAAATACATATGAGTGCTCTGCATGCTCCTTAAAACCCTTGTCGGTTCCCAAAGTACAAGACATCAGTCATCTAAGTTCAGACGCTTCTGCACATAACATGTGCAGAAGGTTTGCTCACGAAGGTGTGATTTTATTATTTTTTTGCTCTTCCCAAAAATATCCTTCAGATATGGTTTGAAAATATCTAGAAATGGCTTCTAACCAGAACGCATGAGTGAGATAGCCTAGTGAAAGAGGCCATTTGGTATAGTGGTCAACCGATATGGGCTTTTCAATGGCTGACAGTGTAAAGGCGGGCGTACACGGTGCGATTCTGAAGGTCAGAACGTCCTGAGCTCTGGCACATGTCACGATTGAGTTTATCCGAAAATCGTACGGAGGCAGTCACACACGACACAAATTTACTACGATTTTACAAACTCTGACGTAAGCATTACGTTTCGCGCCATTCATAAAAATATGGATTCTGAGGACGAAATAGTTTACTTTGTGGCAGGATTTCCAGATGTTTTTAGGTGTGAATTAAGTGTCTAAATACATTTGAAAGAGATTGCATGTCATTGAGTCTACATTCTGATATGGAAGCCCTTTTCTGTCACAGTTGAGTAAAAAAATATTCTGCAAGTCATAAAAATGACTTCGTATCATTATATTTAGAGAAATTCTCAATATAGTATGATATAGTAAAACTTATGAGTTCATGTCATCATGAGATTTTTTCCAAATGTTTTAACTTTCTCATAATGATTTAACAATGAAATTCTCATAACAATGAAAACCTTTCTCATAATAATATTAGTATTTGTAGAATCTTTCTCAAAATAATATTAGTAGTATAGTATCTTGTAAAAATGAGAAACTAATAATATTAGTATTATCTTTTTCATATTATTAGTATAATTTCTCATAATGACAAACTGTATCATAGTGATGATAAGCTTTATCATGAGTTAGTTAAGTCATATCAATTAGACTTTTTAAAATATTATAAAATAGAAATATTTAATTACTATAGCAAGTACATAGTATGTACATGCGGAATAGGACTAAAATAAAATGCTACCATAATATTATTATGAGAACGTTTCTCATTATTACAAGATACTTTCTCTTTAGTATTATACAGTGTCTCATAAAAATGACAAACTTTCACATAATAATGTCTTACTGTATCATAATAATAAACATTATCATGAGTTAAAGTCTAAATTTATTCTACATATAAAATCTCAATAGTAAGGAACTTTTATATTATAATGACTATGTATTTCATAATGAAAAACTGAGAAAGTTTCTCATTATGACTTACAGAATCATATTTTTTACTCAACTGTGGCAGAAATGGGCTTACATACTCATCTAACTCATCTAGCAAAACAATTTATATTGCAGCAGATAATAATCCTGCATAAATAATGTTAATTTATAAATATTGTTCATTGTTTGTACATAATACATAAACTAATGTTGATTTATATAATCTGAGGTGTTAAAGATGTATTATGTAAACATTAGCTAAGATAAATAAATGTAGTATAGTTGTGTTAGTATTGTTCATTGTTAGTTCATGATACCTATTGTTAACTACTGTAATTGAACATTAAACCATTATTTTGCAGTGTGAGTGATATTTTAGTCTCTCTTGCATATATCAGTCTGTATTGCACGTGAGAGACTTTTTCACACAGCTTTTTGGTTTGCGAACAGACCGCCAGCGCAGATGCATAGATAAACCAAAACATACTAATGAGATCAGTGTTTTATAGGTCACTTAGCTGCAAGCTTAATTAAACTCATCCTGCTCCTAGAGCCATGTGGACTGCCAATGTCAGCTTCATTAGCACAAGATGATATGAAGAGCCTATGCGCTCTACTCTGAGTTTTACAGTACCAAACTGACACCGGCACATGCAAAGAGAGTACAGTAAATGATAAGAGTGATCTGTCTCGGCTGCGTTTGCCTCCAGCTGAGTCCCAGCTGGGCTTAAATGTGCTTTACAGCCACTGGACACGGTAATGAACCTAAGCGTAGCCTTCTGCTGGAAAAACGGAGCTTCCAAAGGCTTGTATGAACTAGATTAATGGCTTCAGATATATGCCTAAAAGCTTTCATGTTCAATTATCTGTGCCTAATAAAGGTGTTTAATTATCTGCTTGTTTCTGCAATTTCCTGTGAAGTTGATTCTCAGGAAAAGAACGAAAATGACAGGAAGTTGCATTTGAGGGGAAGGTGGTGTCTCATGCTGGCACATGCAAGGGCACATACATACGTGCTCACAATCCTCCATTTCACAGCGTTTGACGGTACGACCTCGCCACATCTCAGCAGTGAAAGCTACATGCGTGACTACAGAAAAGGAGCTACCCAGCAGCCTCATCAAATTTCTTTACTGAGCTGACCTTGACACACACACATATGATGCGTGTCTGTACCCCTGTCAGTGATATGAAGGGAAGACGGGGTCTGCAGGCACAGATGTGCTGCTTTATCTGTGTGTGTATTTGTCCTTTGTTCTTTTGTCTCCTGCTATTCCCCTGAAATTTGACTGGTGCCCTGTTATTTATTCATTTCATCTTGTTTGTTTGCTCTCTCTCTCTCTCTGCATGTGTGTGTGTCAGTTATTATATAGGCCGGCGGCCTATAGTGATCATAGCAGATCCAGATATGCTCAGACAGGTGATGGTGAAGGAATTCAGTAAGTTTCCCAACAGAATGGTAAGTGAGTGACATTACATTTACAGTCTAATATCAAATACACACGCAGCAATTCATCTCAAGTTGTATTATTAAGCCTGAAGCATACATACACAGCAAAAATGACTTCTTAATGAGTTTTTAATTACTAGTTTTGACTTACTTTTCAGTCTATAACTCCTTAAAATATGAGAGGCAAGATGAATAAGATATTAAGACGTGTTTTCATAGATTGTTTCTTGAATTTAAGTCAGTGTTGTTAACTTGTTATTAACTAAAACTTAATTGAATTAAAGTAAAAATAAAATGAAGTATACATATTAGATGAAAAACTTTCAAATGTGATTAAATATGATAAAATACTATAAATACAAAATATGATTAAATACTATAATAGTTGATAAAACAAATACTAAAATAACACTTATCTAAGTGTAATTTTGTCTTATTGAAAATTTTTATAATACACACACGCACATACACTTATATATATATATATATACAGTGGGTACGGAAAGTATTCAGACCCCCTTAAATTTTTCACTCTTTGTTATATTGCAGCCATTTGCTAAAATCATTTAAGTTAATTTTTTTTCCTCATTAATGTACACACAGCACCCCATATTGACAGAAAAACACAAATCTGCAAAAATGTCAACAATTCTGTGTTTTTCTGTCAATATGGGGTGCTGTGTGTACATTAATGAGGAAAAAAAATTAACTTAAATGATTTTAGCAAATGGCTGCAATATAACAAAGAGTGAAAAATTTAAGGGGGTCTGAATACTTTCCGTACCCACTGTATATAAAATTAAATAAAAATGTTCAATAAGAAAAATTATATATATATATATACATACATACATACATACAGATGTTTTTTTGTCTTTTTGTCTTGTTTTCCATTTTTATTACATTTTGTTTATTTATATATAATTTTAGTTTCTATCACTGATACGCATGGTACTTAAAAACAAACAAACAAACAAAACAAAAAAAAACATTTAGTATAAAACAAACTGTGAAAGTGATTACTGTATCTTTACGTTTGTGCTCTACAAGCTCATTCATGAATAGCGACTTAATTCTGGAGATAGCTTGGAAAATTAAAATAACTTTGCAAAATCATTCATTATCATTCACAAAAGACTTGTTTGCCACTATGATTTACATCAACATAACTCGCAACTCATGTATCATCTAGCAGTCAGAGTTTCGCACTTGTCTTTGCTTTATCATTCAAGTGCTCAGAACTCATTATTACGATATTTTCGTTCCCACTTGAAGGCCGTCAATTCCTGAGTGATGTCATCACATAACTCCGCAATTGTTTGTCAACAACATCATTTATGATCACAGACACACACATAGCATCTCCCATATATCATAAAATCAGCTAAATCAATGACAGGGTGGGTTTGATGCATTACTTTTTTCATGCAGTCGATAGGATTTACTGTATGTAGGTGTGTATTTGTGTGTATAAATCAATGCTGAGAGTGCACGTCATGTGAACAGTAAGGTATTGGCAAAAAGCTCCAGAGCTTTTGTGACGAGTGGGGGCGGGGCCGAGAGCCGTGGGAACGGAGCGAGGCCGGTGGAGTAATTGATAATGAGCGACACCTGCACCACTCACCGGTCTCGAGTCTCACGGAGGAGCTCCGGAAGGATAAAAGGGAGGAGTGACGACCGTGTCGAACGAGAGAGGACCAGGCCTGGAGTTTATTTTGTGTTTTGGTTTCATTTGTGCGCGGCAGTCGTCCGCGAGGGGCTGTCGCACTATTTTGTGTTTATTTTATTATTAAAGTTTTCTTTGAGTGATCGCCGGTTCCCGCCTCCTTCTTCCTAATCTACGAACTTTGTTACAGCTTTGAACTCAGTCAGTCCAGGGAGGTCAGAAACTAATGATCGCATGACTTATGTATCAAAGGTCATGAGATGGCCTTGCTGCTGGAGCTGAGCCTGCTGGGTAAACGATTATGGCAGGGCCAGATCAATACTGAGGCCATGCGCACCACTGGGGCTTACCAGCTACCTCTTGACCTGATTGTGTGCATGGATGTGTAGGTTTAAATGTTCAACGTAAAGCATATCTACAACCAACAGTGGGAGAAAACTCATAAAAGGAGATTGTCATGGAACCAAAAAAACAAACAAATAGTATGTGCTGGCAGCCGTTAACACAAAGATCTACACACAAGATCAAAGTCGGCCCAGCACAAAGCTCTGCCACCTGGCCTTGGTCGCTGCACTAACTTTCAGGCTAACAACTTAGCCAACTCAGTGTACAATGGTAGGTTTAATGAATCCGGGACTATTATTTATGTAGAATTGCCAAGACGAATTCATGTAGAGCTTTTTACAGACACTTTCTGAAAGTTCAGAGTCTGAGAAAGGTCTTTACACTTTGCTGTGGTTCATCTATTAAGCCTAAAACATTCTCTACGCAAATTTGGAGATGCAGATGTGAATGTTTAGCAGAGGTATTGCAGACGTGTCCTGTTAGATATTTTTGAATTGCTATAGCAGAAACAACCTCTGTATTAAATTTATCTTTAAAAAATGAAACTCTAAATATAGCTAGATTTTTTTGGGACTCATTTTGAAAAAGCAACATCTGAAATCAAACTTGAGCAAACTTGCTTTCTTCGAACTGTTGCTAGTAACTACTTCAAACTACTGTTTTTTTAGTAGAATTTGTAGTAATGTATGAAGCACTGCAAACACAGACGTCGCTTTCAAAACAAGAAGCTTTCTTTTGGTCAACGTGGCGAATCGGTGTGACCGAATTGAAATTTGGGAAAAGCTAAACTTTCACTATCACTCTAAATTCACAATTGCACATGGATTCCACTTGAATTTATTGGATTTTGTCTGCAAAAATTTACCAAACAATGGTAAATGTGACTAACCTGAAGACTAATGCTTGTTATAGCACCTCTTGTGGCAATGTTGAAAATGCAGTATACTTGCATTGCGTTACAAATTGCATTCTAACACGCTTTAAAAACTCAATGACGTGTGAAATCAAGGTTACTTAAGTATAAATGCTAACGACTTGGAAATGTTTGCACATATTGTGTAGTGGATGTTTTGGGCCAAACAATCACCACTGCTACTGCTACTGATTTCATAGTTATAACCTACCACACAATACTGGATTCCTATTGAAATGATTAAATGGTAAATGTCAAATGGTAAAACCTCACCTGAAGACTAATGCTATGTTTTTCTATAGCACCTCTTGTGGCAATGCTGAGAATGCAATATGCAAGTTGCGTTACGAACTGCATCCTGCATATTTTTTAGGTAAATTATTTATTTAATTTTATTCTTGTCATCGGCCTTACCAACCCTAGACTGGTCGGGTCGTGACAACATGTAAAATCAAGGTTGCATAAGTATACTGTAAGTGCTTACGTAGCCTAGAGGTGTTTGCACAGTTGCGTAGAGGATGTTTTGGGCCTACAAATGCTACTAATGTCATAGTTATAGCCAACAACACAATACTGGGTAATGACAAACTGATAGAATGCTATAGATTTAGTCCTAATCTTGTCCTTATATAAGCATGTCCTTTTCGGAGTGTATAAACCCCAGCTGTGTTCTCAATGCAGACTGTCAGGGGCACGACTAAACCCATGAGCGACAGTCTGGTCATGCTGAAGGGCGAACAGTGGAAACGAGTGCGCAGCATCCTCACACCTACCTTCAGTGCTGCCAAGATGAAAGAGGTGAGCTTGGCTGTCTTACCTAAATGTGTGCTATACAAACATTAAAGCTGTTCTAAGAAGCGATTGTTCTTGTTATGTAATCACATTTTATGGCCTTGAGTTGATAAATCAAGTGCAGCTCTATTGGAACAGGCTGGAACAAAATCTTGAACCCGTAGAGGACCTCATATTTCCAAAACAGCCATTAAAATAGTTTTTAAAAGTTGCATAAGATCTAAATCCTGGTCATAAGATGTGCAAATAAGTATGAATTCCCAAAAACAATGGAAATTAGTTCACAAATGCATATTCGTGGTTTGAAGTACACAGCATTGGGAGTGAGACAGGGGGGGGGACAACTCATTATATACACTATAAACACTTTAAAGGAGACAGACATGTAGATATTTGTGAAAGATGTTTCCTCTGTTTTGGAGGAATGATTATTTGTAAATCATACCCTATTTATTGCATCAAAATTTGTTAATACTTTACTATATTTAAGGGTGGATAATTTTATCAGTTGTTTATTGCAACAATACATAACTACAATAACTTTGTCTAGTGCTCTTATGAAAGTTTATAGCATGATTTGTGAAAATTTAACTATACTGAATGACATAGACTTCTTCATGGCTAGTTTTTGCATATTTAATTTCATTCTGTAACCTACTTGTTCTACAGATCCGTGTGTACTAGTGTTCAATTCTACAGTGTTAAATTAAGTGGAAAAGACAAGTCCAAAAACGCTTAGAATAGCTGGAATAGAGGCTGCACCCGCGCCCTCACTCACAACTCTCTCAAGAAGACTCGTTCACTCTGCCAGCGTCTCGCAGCGATCATTTTCATACCAGGGACGCTAAACATTCTTGCAAACTGAATTATACATGTCATGCAGGCATTCATATGAGGAGTTTAACAGCAAATTAGTCATTCAAAGAACAAATTTTATTTTTGAACATGAAAAATTTACCGAGGTCCAGACCTCGGTGGCCTCATAGCTTGTTACGGGCCTGGTGGCATCGCTATGAAAAACCTTCTGAAAAAATTTAAGAGGAGTGTACAGTAGATGCCATAGAAAAAACATTTTTGGTTCCCCAAAGAACCTTTCAATGAACAGTTCTTAAAACAACTATTATTTAACTATTATCTAAAGAATGTTTTTCTACTGTATTTTTTCTCACGTTGAGTTGGATGTTTATTTAGTAAATTAATTTAGTGAATTAATTTAAGACTCGAACCTTTTCAGTCCAGGCCTGACTTGATTTTAAACGATTCATTCATTAAAAGAACCAGTTCAAAACAGTCATTGTGAATTGGATTAAACGGTTTGTTTTGTATGTCAAAAATTTGGACACTTATTTTCTGATTTAACTCTTTTACACATTTTCAAATATTCTAAAAGTGAAGTCCTCAAAACTGTAGTACAAATGAAAGTATGGGAAAAGTGTAGTGATCAAAAGCTGCATGAGGCATCATAATTATTAAAAAATTAATTTGTTCAGTCAAGTGTGTCTAAGCGTTTGACTGGCTGTGTATGTGTGTTTTTTAAACAGTTTGCATTATAGATAGTTGCACACATATTGCATTATTTGCAGCAAAGGTGCTGATATGTTTGGCCCCAACTGTATGTATATGTCTACCTATGAACCAGTATCCATTAATGATGTCATTTCCATTCTCCGGCTGAAATGGTATACATGTCCGTCAGGAATGTCAGAGGTGTGTGCTGCTGTGAGAGGAGAAACAGTGATTGTTCTCTCACACACACACAGACACCATAACAGTGGAGTGCCATTCACCCAAGTTAAATTCGGCACGGTGTGACATCATTCAGGAGAAATCCGCGCACATCACTCTCAATCCATCATCTCTGAACACAGTGTGGGAGAGAAATACTGCACAGTGGCAAAGACACAAACTCCTAATGCATTTTTGGTTCCCCAAAGAACCTTTCAATGAACAGTTCTTAAAACAACTATTATTTAACTATTATCTAAAGAATGTTTTTCTACTGTACACCTTTTGTGTAATGGAAAGATTCCATGGATGTTCTTATGGAACCATCAATGCCAATAAGAAACTTTATTTTTAAGAGTGTATATCAACATGTTCCTGAATCCTAATTGGATGATAGTTGAACATTGTTCACCTCTTTGCCTATTTATGAAATCTGATTGGTTGACAGGATGTAGATCCAGAAACATGTTGGAAAAATAAACCTCACATAGTGCAAAGAACACCGTGTTCCTAAAAAGACCGTGAACCCTGGCAGTAAAATGTCCTTTCGAATCCTCATCTGAGAGTCTTAACAAGCCTGTGTGTCTCTTCTGTCTCTTATCCTGTTCTGTGCCACTGGAGATTTGTTGTTAATAGAGGCCATATCAGGCTGCTTTCACATTGTGTAATTTTATTGGAGCCTATTTGCACAATGTGTTGTCATTACCTCTTTGAGCATTTAGGTGGAGCAGCTCGATGATACTAGACTATCAGTTTTCTCAAAGTGAGAGATAGGAAGCAAGAGCTAAGAGAGTTTGACATTCGTTTTTTTTGTATTCTTCTGTTGCACGTCACATGTGAGAGAACAAAGGAGTGTTTCCTCTACAACAGCCCTGCACTTTACATGCACTCTTTTCTGATTAAATAAAGCAGAGAAAGACAGAAGAAAGTGAATAGGAAGGAAAGAAGTGCGGTAGTCAAGAGGAACAGACAGACGAGTGAAAGATGAGGTCGCAAAACGGAGAAAAACACAGTGGATTTAATTCACATGACATCCTTGAGATGAAGAAAAAGACATGAAGCTGTCTGCTGAAAATGTATAATTGGTCATGCTGGAATGCTGTGATTGGCTAAGAGATATGATAGCAGTGATGGGGAGGCCTTGGATGACAGCAGTTAATTGCTGTTTGTCCTCTTGCTAACAGGTTTTGAAGTGCCAGTCATCTCATCTTACATCATAGAACACGATCGATTCTCCATCGTTCTCTGCGTCTCATGTGACTGCTTATTCATTTACCAGCAGAATGATTGAATAGGATTAATAAGTCACAGATTAAATAAGTCCTGGTTTAAATTATGTTGTCAATGTTGATTTCTCCACTAAAAACATCTTGTAGTCTGGGGTGTGAGCTGTGTCTTGGAAACTTTTAACCTTGCCAAGAATTGCAGATGATTTCATCTCCTAATAAAGAAAGAATCGACTTTTGGGATATGTGCATATTGTGGCCAAAAATACTGTCTTTTTTCTGCAGTGTAATGCAACACTGTTTGTTTTAGTATTCACATGAGTTTTTCCTTTTAAAATTACAAATACATAGACATTAAAAAACAGTAATATTGTAAAATATTATTACAATTTAAAATAATTTACTATTTTAATTTATTTTAAATGTAAATTATTCCTGTGACGGTAAAACTGGTCCTTCAGAAATCATTTCATGCATCCTTGCTGGATTAAAGTATAGTAACACTTGATTTTTAGGTGACCTTATTACACGTTACATGTGCTCACTATTATAATAACAATAAATTATGCATAATTACATGTAAGCAACCCTAAGCCAAACCCTAACCCTAACCATATAGTTGTCATGTTTGCTACTGTGCTGGAGTGCGGAGTGAGGAACGAGGAGACCAGGAGTACATCAATAACAAGACTTTAATTGCATTCAGGGAACCAGGAAAACACACGTAACAGAGGATGTAGACATATACAGACATTCACAATACTGGACGACCAAACTTAGAACAGGGCTCACTATAAATACACAGGACTAAAGGATGGGATGACGAGACACACCTGGAACTAATGAAACAATAAACATAATTAGAACAGGAACAGGAAGAACCAAATAAGGGCATGGAAACACATGGGGCCAGGCCTGACTTGATTTTAAATGATTCATTCATTAAAAGAACCAGTTCAAAACAGTCATTGTGAATTGGATTAAACGGTTTGTTTTGTATGTCAAAAATTTGGACACTTATTTTCTGATTTAACTCTTTTACACATTTTCAAATATTCTAAAAGTGAAGTCCTCAAAACTGTAGTACAAATGAAAGTATGGGAAAAGTGTAGTGATCAAAAGCTGCATGAGGCATCATAATTATTAAAAAATTAATTTGTTCAGTCAAGTGTGTCTAAGCGTTTGACTGGCTGTGTATGTGTGTTTTTTAAACAGTTTGCATTATAGATAGTTGCACACATATTGCATTATTTGCAGCAAAGGTGCTGATATGTTTGGCCCCAACTGTATGTATATGTCTACCTATGAACCAGTATCCATTAATGATGTCATTTCCATTCTCCGGCTGAAATGGTATACATGTCCGTCAGGAATGTCAGAGGTGTGTGCTGCTGTGAGAGGAGAAACAGTGATTGTTCTCTCACACACACACAGACACCATAACAGTGGAGTGCCATTCACCCAAGTTAAATTCGGCACGGTGTGACATCATTCAGGAGAAATCCGCGCACATCACTCTCAATCCATCATCTCTGAACACAGTGTGGGAGAGAAATACTGCACAGTGGCAAAGACACAAACTCCTAATGAGCTCATAAACGTCTTTACAGTCTGCTCTAATCCAAGTCTCGGAGCTGCGTCTTAAAGCACGTCCATTAACTTAATTACAGTAAACAAAGCCATCGTGTTTGCATTTTAAAACCCACAGTATCGAGACGTTCCACTGTTAAATAGTAGCTGCATTTGGCAGAGGATTTTATGTGAAATAAAATCGGGATCAACATTCAGCTTGAACCTGAATGTTTAATGTATAACTGAGCTCCAAGTTGTACAAAAGTGTAGGCATGCACTTGCTGCCTGTTTTGATTTTCATTAGCTGTAGTGTAGCGGTAGAAAAAGACAGTAGACACCGCTCCTGTCATTCTCCATCAGCCCTTCCAGTCATCTTCATCTGCCTGCCTGCACGGAGTTAATATGCATCAACAAACACACACATGTACGCACACACACCTATTCATCTTATTTACACCAAGTAAGGCCTCACGGAGATGTAATTTGTTCCTGTAAAACTGAGATAACTTGACCACTGGTGAATACAAAATGTGTTCAATAACAAATCTTTTGCTTCTAGACTATATAGACACAATTTAGTTACATTTGTAGGACTTCAAGGAACTAATGCTTTGTAGTCTAAAATACATATAAAATGCTGGAAATCCCATCTTTGTAAAGAAATCAAGACTGGAAATCAGTTAAATGGGTTTCAAGACTTGAACCGAGCTGCCTACATAGACAGTTTTTTTTTTAAGCGATCGTGTGTCTAGAAATGACAACTGTTCCATGTAACTACCCCTTACGAAAATTAACAATGGTTTTATTATAGTAAAAGTGTAGTAACCATGGTTTTTTGGCATA